GATAGGAAGAAATTATTTATTAGGAATAAGAATAAAAATGCTAAAAAACCTAATTTCTATGTATTTTAGTTATTAAGAAAAACATTTAAATTTAAACCTAAATTATTAAATTGATTATTAAAAATTTATTTACAAAAATATTAATGAACTAAATATTAAATAAAACATATTTTTATTTTTATGATTTATGATTTCTAATTTTTTTGTATTATGAAAATTATTTTTATGTAATTTAAAGGAAACAATTAATTAAAAAAACAAATAAAAGAATAGAAAGAAAAATAAATAAAAGTTGAAAATTGGACAAACCATGGGGGTATCTGGCCCCTAGAGGAGGTTTATTGTGAGTAATTGGGCCCAACAGATGCAAGGCCCCTTTGGACTTTCTGGAATTGCGTATGGCATGGTTGACTAGCGTGCATGATGGAGTCCAGGTTCTGGCCATTGGATTGATCTCCTGGGCGCGTGGCAAGCAAGCAGGCGAGGGCATATGGTACTCCTTTGAGTGAGAGCTACGCTGGAACATGCTAATGAAAAAATCATGAAATATATAAGGGGACCTGGGAATCAAACCCAGGTCCCAGTACCTGCATGGAAGCGCATCTACCAACCCAACCAACGCGTTTCTTTGTTAGTTTAATGGAACATGATTAATATATGTGAAAAACAAGCGTTATTGGCAGAAACAAAAATCACGCGCGAATATTCAAACTATCCAGTCACGCTGAGACACGTCCACCTTCTTCTTCGTTTGCCTGAAAATACAAAATAGATAGCGGGGGTTTTAAACCCCCACTAAATGGCACCTGCAAATAATAGCGAATAGGGCATATGCAAACATAAAAAGGGCGCGAATAGTGGATTAGTTTCGTCTGGATGCTCTGATTTCAATGGTACTGGTTTGAATGGGCAATTTTCCCAGATGAAGGAATCCCTATTTCAAAGCTCCTGAAACCCTAAAATATGTTCATGGTGGATTCTTATACAGGCCTTATTAGTTCAATCAAAGCATGCCATTAGCTTCAGAACACTCATATTAGTATAAATCAATGGTTAAAAGTCACAAATAATGCATGGAAAATGGAATACGATTATGAAAATTTTCAAGAAAAGTAAGACTCTGTTATACCGATTCCTTGAGTATGGAAGGCTGGCTTTGATTGGAATAGTTTCCTGGATGTGTCAGGAGTGTATTGGAATGGTTTTTTTGCTTTGAAACGAGCTATAGCTAGGTTTTCAGTTGAGATTTTTTGTCAAAAGTTGCAAAGTTGTTCTTGTGTTCTGAGCGCAGCTTTTGTGTCCAAGGGATTAGGTTTCACTTATGCACATGTATATGAATAGAATTAGGTCAAAAAGCCAGCCCAAAATCCATCCATTTATGACTTTGAATATTTGATTTTCCATATCTTTTCTTCAATCTTTTTCATGCCAATTATGCCAAATCATGGAAGATTCTTTCCTTTTTGAATGGTACACGAGATATTGAGCACATAATGAGTGAAATCTCTGCATAAAAAGATTTGAAAGGTGTGATTTGCTATTTTTTCATATTTAATTTTAATTAAGTGAATTAATAATAATAAAAATTCAAATAATTAATCAAAAATGATAAAATAACTCCCTTGGATGTCAATGGGTCGTGCATAGCCTTTGGGTGATGATTCATGGAAGAAATTGAGGCCCATTAGCAATTTTGAGGCATTTGAAGTAAAGTTGACTTTTCAAAATTCCCAAAAATTTCCCAACTTCCACAAGGCATATCTTGCTCAATTTTTAAGCTTTGATCATGTTCTTGGACATTTTGGAAAGGTCTTGAAGTCCTCTAACCAATGCCTTTTGTCCCATGTCATTTTGATTTACCAATCTCAAGTTATGGTCTTTGACTTAAAGTGCCTTTTTGTTGACTTTTGAAAATGACCTATAATGTTGAAATTGATAACTTTTTGTGAGAGCATTTCTTGGACTTGAAGTGTGAAGATGAGTTGTAGGAAATGCCATTCTCTTCAAAATGAGCTTTGGATGGGATTTTTCTGATAAACCATGTGGAAGTTATGCCTTGGTCAATTTGCAGTTGACTTTTTCAACTGTCCAAAAATAGAAACTTTTGCATCTTGAGACTTTTTGAGCCATGCCTTGAGAATCATGATCAAGAATTGATCAAATGATGTTTATGGCTTCAAAATAAGATATTGACCAAAATTTTTGACTTTTGACTGTTAAATGACCATTTTGCCCCTGCAGTTGACTGTGAAGCATTTAGGGTTTTTGACTGTGCAATATGGTGTTGTGAGTCTTGAAACTTTGCATAAGGATGCTTGACAATGTTTATAGGCATGTGGGACTTGATTGGACCCTTGGAAACTCCAATTTCTTTGCCAGAACCAAAACCCTAATTTTTGACTGTTAGGAGGCCATTTGGACTGTGCAACCCTTGAGAGATTTTGAAGCATGATCTTAGCAAACCTTGAAGAATATGGGAGGGAAAATTTTGGGGTACAACAGCTGGTAAGGGAAATGAATGAAAGAAGCTTCTCCAATAGGAGGCATGTGTTGAGCATTTGTTTCATTCCTTTGGCAGCTGAAGTTCCAGTTCCATTTCTAGTTCAGGTTATGGTTCGAGTGGAGAAGCTGAGAGGGCATACCTTCCCTAAGTTGGTTAGATCGCTCGAGCGAAGGAAGATGTCTTGTCTCGCAATGGCAGAAGAAAGATATATCATTGCCAATCGGGAGGAAAGGAAGAGTCATTTACCTCCTTCTCCCTATCGATGTTTGACCCGATTTTGCTCCCCCTCCCCGGGCCTTAGCAGCCCACCCCATAAACCGCTTCCCTCGACTGCCTTAAGAGAAGAGAAGAGGAGGGGATTTTGAAGAATGGAATGAAAATTCCTAAAGGTAGTTTACTTGCTTACTTGTTAGAGTCAGGAATCTTTGTAAATTTTTTCTGCAGGGAAATGGCTCCAAAGGACCTGTGCCTCTATCCTGACGAGGTTATCGTCACCGATGGTAGTCACGAGTTCGTGGAGTACACAACCTTAAGGTAAGGTCGTGGGTCCGACAATGGCTTAACTGCGTCAAGTGGTACTACATGGTTGCAGTATCTCCAGGCGTAACCATCCAGGATCTCTTAGACGCACCATTCGTGAACCGGAAATGGCAGGTTGAATCGACCGACTCTCAGTTGGTCCGGTTCGGCCTTGTCTGGAAGGTTTTTTATTTTGTTTCCCTAAGGCGTTTGGCCTGTTAAGCCAATGTCCTAGTCGCTGCAGCAATTACGGATACCTCTAAGGCATCTCTACTCTGCGAGTCCCGCAACTTTCTTTATGTTTTGTGAGTTGACTCCTTATGCTAGAGCCAACCTGGCCTACCGGTCTTGTAAACCGATAGTTCCTTTAGGTTTTACACCTGAGGGTGCCCTCCTTTGGGGTTCATACATAAAGGACCTCATCAGGGTGTTGATAAAACTAGCTAAACCGGTTTCAGTGAGGTCAATCAAATGGAGAGGTACGAAGAGGACTTTTCGGTCCTCTCCTTACTGTCGAGTTACTACGTTCCTTGCCTTTTGAACTTAATTCATGGTACCGAAAGGTAACAGAAGGAAGTAAAAGACCCTCATTATTAGGTGTACTGTGGTACCCAAGAGTTAGGTATTGTTTCGACGAAAACAACGAGTTGTTTAGTCGAATGGATATGGCCTCATTTGAAAAGGAGGTCATTCCCAACGACCCTACTCCTGTCAGAGTCCTTACCTCGGACGACTGGGTAGTCGGTTGAAGGAGCGAGGAAGAGAGGAATATTTGCCATAGGAAACTGGCTGAATCAGAGGTTATTAAACTCTGTTCATAGATGGCTGATGGATGTTATCCGTCAGATTACTATGGGTGGCATGCATGGATGTCTTTTCTGCCTTAGCCATTCTCCATACGTAGCAACTTTAAGTAGATGATAGATGGGATGAGATGCTAGCCTTAGCGCAGAAGATTCATCATGGAGCCTTAGGTTAGGCTACTATTAAAGATAGGATGGATTGTCAGGAATAGTAGATGGAGCAAGGAAAAGCATCCAACCAATCCTGTTAGGTTGTTTTGGAAAGCCAGCGGCAAGGAAGGAAAGGAAGCGAAGTAAGCATCCAATCCTGATCTTTTCACTTTCGAGATCGAAGAATCATAGCTATCAGTGCATTAGCAAAGCATACCCAGAAAGGGAGAGTTCTTCTTTTGCAAGAATGGGCATTACCGCAGCTTTGACTCTGTTGCAGGTATGAAGTGCCATGAAAAATGGAAATGGCTATCAGTTCTAACTCTCCTGACCCGAGGTAAGTAGTTCGGCTAAGCCGGAAGAAATAAATGTGAGAGTTTAGCCTATTAATTCACTTGACTTTAGGGAAGCCGGTTAAATGCTTTGCTTTGTGAGGGAAAAGCGGGCACAGCTCACGCACGGCACAAGAGGCAAGGAACTTTCAACAGGCATGGACGGCCTCCTTTTGAGGGTGAATGTCGGAAATCGTCTTCCCTTTGATGGACATTAAAAAGGATCCGCTAGGCTGTCTTACATGTCCCCAAAAGCTAAAGGGCTCCTTTCCTTCTTGATATCGCTGATGCGCCTTTAAGAGTTCTCGTTCTACTTCCTGTTAGCTGGTAGAGTATGAACTACGACCGATGGGATTGGTACAACCACGAATCTTTTGTTTGCTTTGTTTACAGCCAGCCTTACTTAAATAGGAGTTTCTGCTTCTAGCTAGCTTGCTTTGGGCATTGGGAAAGAAAAGATAAGGCAATTTAGTTCTCATCCGCCCTTGCCTGCGAGCCTAGGAGTAGCTTCACCTTGCGTCTGCTAACCGCTGCTAAAAAGCCAGTGACCGGTAATCCGATGCTACCACCAGACTAGCCGGTATACTAGAGAATTAAGTTCACTGAACCCGCTGCCAAAGAAAAGTAAGCCTAAACCTCTCAACCCCCCGAGTCCGGGGCAAAGGTTACGTTCCCCTCTTTCCCCCTGACTTCATGTTTTTCTGTCTTCTTTTGTGGATTCCAACTGAATTGTCATCTTTCCCGCCTTCCGCGCGGTTTCTTGGCTCAAGATATTCTGATTCCCCTAGTAGTCTGACTGCTCTTTCTCTCAAGCGAAGTGCTTCTCGGGACAAAGGGCAGAAGGGAAGGTAGCTCGTGATTATCGTCTCGGTCTTCTCGAAAGGTAGTTGAGTTCCTTCGGGTGATAAATAATAGGAATTGATCTAGCTATAGATATAGATAGAGTGTCAGATGAAAGGTTTCGCCCCTGACTCCTTGACTTATTGATGTCGCTGATCCGCTGTTATCGTATCAGGAAATGTGGGGCCGGGCCGCTCTTTCTGACATAGGAACTTACTCAAAATCTAAAGTCCGCCTAAGGGAGAGAGAAGACTATAAACAATAAATCTAGGAGGTTTGAAGATGCTCGAGCAAAGCGAAGAGGTTTTACCTAGCATTAGAAACTTAATCCATTGTTGCTTGTTGCTTGTTATCCCTTGCTTTTAGTTAGGTATAACTCCTCTGTTATCTCCTTGTTCTAACCCTGTTGCTTCCTTTGCTTCGCCTGGAACTACCTTGCTAACACCTTCTTACAGTCTTGCTGAGCTTAGGAAGTGAAGTTGTAGGGATGAAAAGCCTATATTTAAATTACAAACAAAGGCTGAAAGCTGGTGTTTGCCAGTCACAAGAGAGCATTAGTGCTTCCCGTTAGTCTTACGAGGAGGAGAAGCACGTAATGGGAACGATATTGGAGCTTAAGGTTGGTACATTGCACGCATTAAAACCTTAACTCTTATAACCCGTCTTTCCTTGTTATCCCTTGCTTTTAGCTCGATATAACCCCTCTTCCTATTGCATTTGCTTGTAATTCCTTGTTTCCCTCGTTCTTGTTTCTATCGTAGGTTCGGTAGTAGGTTCCAGCTTGCACATGCAGGATCCCCCCTTCGTCTTTCTTTTCTCCCGGATATAGCGCGAGAGAAACGCGAACAGCTGATTCTCAAGCAGGGGATTCGTCGAAAACAACCTATCTGTCTACTTGCTTTCAGTTCTGTTCCCGTCTCGATCTTAGCTTAAAGCTCTCAACCTATTCTTGCGTAAACCAAGTTCACTGCCTTAATTTAGGAGTGAAATAACCCGCTACGAGTAGAAGGGACTTTGCCGGGTATTCCTTCTTCTTGACAGCGCAGGGGCACAGCGGTAAATACCGAGGAAAGAAGATAATTAAATTTTATCCCACACCACGGTAGATAGTGTTCTGTGGGGGAAGGAAGCCAGGCATAGGCGTATCCGCCTTGGAAGTTTGAATGCCCTAAGATGGTCCTTCGACAAGCCCGCCCTTTGCTAAAGCTTCTATGGATTGCACCTTTAGAAAGGAAATCAGCATTTAGGACAATTTTCCCAACCAAGGAAAAATGGCACATTTCGATGTCTCGTAGGAAAGGAAATCCGATCTATGAAAAAATTCCCTAAAGAAAAGTGTCGATTTAACTTTTTAGGAGTAAGTAAAAAAGGTCCCTCGAATGGAATAATAGCTTTTCCGGAGGAAGTAACTTATTATATTATAATAGTTGATAGTTTATGTAAGAGAAGAAGTTCTTGGTTTGGTTGAATTCAATCAAAAAAAGTACCATTTTCAATTGAATCCTGAATCCCTTATTCTATAAATTTACTAAGAGAAGAAATCACGTAAGTGATAGAAAGAATCGTTCAGTAGGCTAATCTTGAAAGGTTTCCATTTTCGATTGAGAAAGCGGCAGGCCCAAAGAGCTCTCCAATAAGTGCACCGAAAGGGGGCCGGAGAGACGGTCAACCTGAGATCGGCTAAGATCGAAAAGCACTTGGTTTAGAGCCAAGCAACGACAAAGAAAAAAGAGTCCCATGTCTTTCTTGATTGGTAAACCCAACCAGCGATTTACAACAAACAAGTCTTTCCTCTTGTTGGGGGGAGCAGTTAAAAAATGAACCAAAGCAAATGAAATTAGAATGGCTATTCCTCACGATTACTCCTTGTGATGCAGCGGAACCATGGCAATTAGGATTTCAAGACGCAACAACACCTATGATGCAAGGAATAATAGACTTACATCACGATATCTTTTTCTTCCTCATTCTTATTTTGTTTTTCGTATCACGGATCTTGGTTCGCGCTTTATGGCATTTCCACTATCAAAAAAATCCAATCCCGCAAAGGATTGTTCATGGAACTACTATCGAGATTCTTCGGACCATATTTCCTAGTATCATCCCGATGTTCATTGCTATACCATCATTTGCTCTGTTATACTCAATGGACGAGGTAGTAGTAGATCCAGCCATGACTATCAAAGCTATTGGACATCAATGGTATCAGACTTATGAGTATTCAGACTATAACAGTTCCGATGAACAGTCACTCACTTTTGACAGTTATACGATTCCAGAAGATGATCTAGAATTGGGTCAATCACATTTATTAGAAGTGGACAATAGAGTGGTTGTACCAGCCAAAACTCATCTACGTATTATTGTAACACCTGCTGATGTACCTTATAGTTGGGCTGTACCTTCCTTAGGTGTCAAATGTGATGCTGTACCTGGTCGTTTAAATCAGATATCTATTTCGGTACAACGAGAAGGGGTTTACTATGGTCAGTGCAGTGAGATTTGTGGAACTAATCATGCCTTTACGCCTATCGTCGTAGAAGCTGTTCCTAGTAAAGATTATGGTTCTCGGGTATCCAATCAATTAATCCCACAAACAGGGGAAGCTTAAGCGGAAATGAAAGAGTAGGGTGAGGGATAAGGGGGGAAGCCACTAAATGGAAGGCTTCGCTCGCTCTAACGCTCGTTTAGTAGACAGCGAGTGGAGTGCATAAGCCCCTTTAGAGATAGGGGCGAGTACTACACGAGCTCGTAAGTCAAGTACGGAACGAGCGAAGGAGAGCGACCTCATCTTGCTTCTGGAGAAGCTTCTAGAAGGCCCACCACTTCATAGGAGCGCTAGCGAAGCCGTATAAAGGCAAACAACTCGTATAGCTCGCAATAGCGAGCCTAGTTATCGCTTTTTTTTGTTTACTTTACCGTGCAAGGAAAGTCAAGAATATCATCAGTAAGAGTGGTTGCTATTGACTTCTCGAGTATGCAAGGCCTTTTTTTCGTCTTTTTCGGCCTGTTGGTACTTGTCGAATTGAAACTAGAGAATCAGAAGATTCGCCAACATTACCTATTTTTTAAATGGATTCGGGGCCGATGTAAGTACGTGATTTCAAATAGCATGTTAAAAGTATATGATCCTCCTTTGACTGTTTAAGTACCATCTCCGCCTTTGCTATCTATGCTTTCTGGTCGCTAGACTCATTCTTCTTCTTCTACTTTACTTCCAGCTACTCTGCTCTGAGCTTAAGAAAGGTTAAAAAGGTTGCCGGTATGTTATTTTTGTAGTTTTGAATTCCAGAACTGGTCAATTCCCCTTCCCATTTCGGGAACTATCTTCTATAGGGATTCCTATTATATTTCTATTTACTCTTTGCCGTCTACAAAACTTTAAGTTTTGGTAACTAACTTACAGATTGTATCTTAAATAAAATAAACATCCTTTAAGTGGAATGGGGGGCAGACGACGAAGCAACATCGATAACAATGAAATCTGAGTCTGTGGTGGCAGACCCTTTCCAGGCCCCTACAATCAAGCAACCTCACCAATGTGAATGAAAGAAAGGGCACCACATACATCTCGACTAGTTCGTGCCTGCGGAGCGAACAAAAACCTCTTTTTAATTCTGATTCCGACTCCGAAGTCCGGATATTTGGTTGCTTTGTACTCGAACCATGTGATGTGGTTCGGCTTGTTGCGCCACCTCACTTAACCAAACATATCCGAGAATAATAAGTTATACCAGATCTACAGCACTTGCTGCTTCATGCCTGGTTGCATCTGACTCTGCTGGTTCACCTTCTAAACAGGTCTCCGCACCTGAGACACATCCTTCTCCTGTTGCTTATTCTTTTTCCTATATTGTGGTGGCTTATTCAGCGAGCTGGATCTCCTACTGTTCCCGCGCCAGCTTCCACTCTAGCTCCCTTCGGCCTCGAAGATCATCAGGTTCCATCCAACTAACTCTAGTTTCTATGTTAATTGGTTTTGTACTTCTGCATGTTGGGAATAAAAATAGAATAAGATTTTCTACTTGACTTTTTAAGTGATCAACTAGGTTTTTAATCCCTCGCTTACACTATATTGGGCTAGGTTAAGTTGGAGGTCGTACATTTCACCAGACTGTGGGACAGACACGTCCAAAAATCCGTTCTCCCCCCTTCTGGTTATAATAGACCCAGAACCCCTGCATACCTTTTTTCTACCATAAGGCCTCCCTGGCTTCTTATTTAGGTTCTATCTTTTGTAGATTCTGGTCTGGAAAGTACCCTTGCCCTGCCTGATGCTGTAGCAGCTTATACGGATGCGTTGTATCCTTACTTGTAGCCGGCTCTGTTACTCCTAGGATTTTATCAAAATAGATATAGTGGAGGACAGGTTTGAGTACGAGGAGTTCCATACAATAAAAGGATTTCTCTATAATAAGAGTGATCCATGGCCTTGAGCCTAGAGTCATAGAAGAATTCCTTGATGCTTCCCATAGGGATAGGAAAGAGTCAAGTGGCTGGTTAAGCAGCTAGTCCTAATCTAGGCACATACGCCGGTTAGAGCAGTGCCTTTTCAAAGCTTAGCTTCTTAGATTCTCTTACTAATAGAAAACAATCTTTCTTTCGGGAAAGTCTTCTGCGCACTATTAGGCTGTGGGGCCCAGATCTTCTTGAATAAACTAAAGTTTGCCCCTTGGAATGAAGCCTCTTAGGCTGTCTACCTTTGATTCAAGAGTCTCACCTTGGCGATCTACTGAGAAGGTCGTATCCATGGTCTCGACTCGCTCATACCCGGCCCACCTCTCTGAGGGGGACTTCCTTGCTATGCCACCATCCTATTAGCTTAGCTGGTAGTTAATCTATTTACTAGTCTGATGCACACTTGGAAGGCTCTCCTTTATCTTACCAGTCGTGCAGCACAATACACGCGTTTAGGTCATAATTCTTATCTCAGGCTGAGAATTGGGCTTATAATGCCTTTGTTTTATGGACCTCGGGACCTTGAATTTCCAACTTCAGCCTATCATCTTATGTTTTTAGTTTAAAAAAAATAAAAGGTCCGCGCCCTAGAGTGCATCCATGTCTTAGCCTTAACGGATGAGGCCTGCTATGACAAGGGATAGATAGGCACTACCTCTAACAAGGTAGTCCTATGGCGATATAATGCCTTCTGGATACGACTCAAGAATAAACCATTATCTATCTTCCTAGTCCCTTTGTCTGAGCATAGGTGACTCTCTTAGTGTTAGTACTTGTTCAGTTAAGATGTACATAGTCTTTAGGGTACGGTCATTACGCAGCAATATATCTTCCCCACTGGGCGCGTATGGTAAGATGAGATACATCCTCCGGGCCTAAGTCGATCCTGACTTTCTTAGATCTGGATTCAGAGGCTTCATCTAAGTAGAGTGAAAGATGATCCTGCCCTCCTCTTACTCTTTGTTACAGCTATTTCCTCGTCTGGGAAGCAATCCTTTTGCTTTTTATTTTAATTATCTTTAATTTAACCAAGTTAAATGTTAGCAATATATATTAGTATACATTTTTATGTTTCGATGCAAAGTAGTTTTTTTGGTTGGTTAATTGGTCACTTCCTGAAACGGCTTGGATTGGCATTCTATTAGCTCTAGTTATCCTTTCGGTAAACTACACTCTAGTACTAGACTTTGTGCGTATTACACTCGTTCGGTAGCTATTCACACCCCTAAACAAACTCTAACTCAGGGAAGAAGAACAAGTCTTAAAAAACTACATATGCGATAACCCGCTTAACTTCTACCTTCTCCAACTCTGCTTGTTCCCTAGTGGTCGCTACAGCCGAGGATAGCTAGAACTAATGAACTAAGTTAACTCATCAGAATAACCGCCCCTCCTAGCCCGATAGCGCTTTAGGAAAGTCTTATGAAAGATAGAGTCCACTTCTAGGTCTTTGATCTCACCCAATCCTGTATGCTACGCTAGTTTGAAGAGTCTTCTTCCCTTTCTTTAACTTTAAGAACTCATAACTAAGAAATTACTAAGAATATAAACAATTGTACCAACTCACGAACTCAAGAAAGAAGTGAGAGCATCCTTATGTTTCCAGTCCCCCTACTCATATCGGAATGGAAGCTATGGGTCACGAAGAAAAAGAGTGTCTTTATTTTTATCGTGTTATAGCCCAATTCAAATAAGAAATTAATATGAGTCTAATAGAATCTATTTCAAGCAGCTAAAAAGGAAAGACTTTTTTTTTATTACCTCAGCCAATGGTTTAGCTGGGGAGCTTCTCTGCTGACGTACCTCCTTCCTCCTGTTCGACGATTAACTCTTCCAGGCCTTGCTTGCCTCGTGCGAGAAAAGAGGGAAAGTGCTAACATGCTAACACCGGTAACGGGTGTTGCCGCATCTGAGACCGGAAAAGCTGCTATTTGTCCAATTCTGCCTTCTCTCTTTCCTGTATACTTATTGTACTATTGATCATGTCCGCTCTCTTCCTTTGATCTCTTTTCTATGCTAGGATACCATCTAGATTATGTATGAAATTGATAGTTAGAGGAAAAGATAACTCCTAAATGCAGCCGGGATCTTATATACGATACCACCACACCAATGATAGAAGGAGAAGATACGAGTACTCAAGCAGCTAAAGCAGTGTGGTTCCAGGTGCATTTCCAGTTTTGATAGTTGTTGTCCGAGCTCTTGTCCTTCCTCTATGATTCAAGACAAAGACTATAGGCTAGAGTGGCTTTCCTATTGCAATTAGTAACTGATCTGCTCTCGTCTTTTCTCTTGAAGAGCCCTCCCTTCTCGTATTAGCCACCGACCCTGAAAGGCCCAAAGAAGGGGAGCAAGTTTTGGTCAATCTCTCGGGCAAGGAAGAGATGCGCCGGGTCTTTCTCTTTGAATGGCGGGATGCTAAATCGATTCGCCCTTGCCTCTACGGGATCAACTACTACTTATATAAAGAAAAAGCACCAAAGGTAAGCTGTTCCCAGTAGAAAGATAAAAGCTATTCTTCTTAGCAGTTAAACAAGTGAATGGAATGATTTTCCCCCGGGGGTGACTGAACTACCCGGATCCTCATCTCTTGAACTCGTTCTGGCAGCTAGTTTAATGGCACCGGCATCTCATCTAGTCTAGATCGATTCCCTAAGAACTTCTTCTCTAGCAGGCGATTTGGCCAATTTTGTCTTTCCTGGTAATAAGGCAAGGCCTTTCCCTATCACGCTTTATTGACTAGCTTCCTTTCTTCGGCATTCATTCGTCTCAAAAGAAAAAGCTAACGAACCTTACCAATTCAATTCCAATTATCTAAGACAGAGCAGGATAGCTGCCATCAAGGAGCCCCTTTAGAGCGAGGGCCTTCCGAGACCCATGCTATCAAGAAGAAGAGCCTTGAGCTAAATCATTGACCTTGCACCTGCTTTGATTAGGACATTGCCGCATCTCATCTGGGGATCTAACTCTTTCCGGCTTAGCCGAACTTATCACCTGGAGTGACTGAAGGAAATTATGATTCAAGCTCTGAACCAAAGCTAATTATTTTCTCTTCTCTATTATTGTACCCTCATCGGAATCTCCTTACGCAGATTCAACAGCAGCTGGGTCGTGAGAGCTGAAAGACGTTCAAGCTCAAAGCTACAGGTTCTGTCATACTCGATTCTATTTCTTTCTACTCTAGAGTGACTGGCTTTCCTTTCGAGCAGACTAAGAAGAAGCCCACGTAGCGGTAGCAGCTACGACTTCTTCCTTTTGGGCTTACTTGCCAAGTACAATAGCAACGGATTATGTACCAGCAAACTATATTTAACCGGGTGTTCCCTCTCCGTTCTAGCTTTCTAAATAAGTCAGATCGGTGCCCTTTATCCGGGAAGACTCCTAAATCAGTTAACTGGGTATGAGAAGGCCTCCCCTCTAGTCTATAGTATCCCTTCTTCCTTTCGTTTGTGCATCTTTCTCTTTATCCCTTTCTGTTTGTTGGTCAACAACCACAAGTCAATAGAATGAATTCTGAACTATAAAGGAGAAGTGAACCGTTCAGGCAAGCGAAGCGGTTTGCTTTCTCTAGAAAGACTCTGCAGGGGAATTCGCCCTTTCTTTAGTGGATTGGCTCACTACTGACTTACTATCTAGTTACTAGAAAGATTAAGGTACCGTACTGGTTGGTTTGCCCAGGACTGAGACCGACAGACTGCTTTCAACAGCTTTTCTAGGTGTGAAATGAACCTTTACTGCACTGCTAGCGTTTTAGAGCTTGAAATAACTAGCACTCATACGGATTGGACTTAAACCAACCGTGCTACTAGGCTTAAAAGAAAAGCTTGAACTCTCCCCCCCGAACCGCCCTATTACACCTAGGCTCATATGCTCTTCAAAAGGAAAATAGGTTTACTTTCTTTCATTTTGGTTATGGAAAGTTAAAGTAGTCAAGTTGACTCTAATCACGTACGCCGAGCTTCGATGGATTGTTGTGTTAAGTCTCTTTTGTGAGATAACAGAGACAAGGAACCACAGCCCCTTCGGGTAGGGCATAGGTGGCTACGGCGGAAAAACCCTGGATCTACAAGACTTACTTCACGCTCTCTAGAAGCTCACTGCAGAGGAAGGTAAAGTGATTATTCCTATAAAATCAAATCAAAGAAAATAAAGATATTGTTCACCGAAAGATAGGAAATTTATTGACTTAAAGAGAGGAAGGGAATACTGAACCACGCCTCGAGTCCCAGTCTCCTAGTGGTGGGATGGTAAAGGGCAATGTCCGGTTCTGGCCAAGAGATGTCTTTGCTCCGTCCCCCTTCTTATTGGTTGGCACAAGCCCTTGTAGTAGTCAGCCTTTCCTCCCTGACGGTCTACACCAGGTATGAACTCGATTTAAACGGGGATCAGAGCAAAAAAGGCCCTTTTCCTTTTCTACTATGCTTTGAGCCGCTTCCAGGAATGGTAAGACTTGCCTTTGCCCTTACTCTATTAATAAGGAAATTCCCTGGTGTTCACTCTAGTTCCTAACTCATTTACGCTGTAGGCATAGAGCTATGGGAATGCTTTCATAGGCTAGGGGGGATAACTCTTAATTAAGTAACTAAGCCCCAAGGCTAGTGAAGGAAAAGGAAGTTACATTAGGGCTACAACTCCTGACTCGAGGGTGAGAATTTGAATCGAATAGATTGAATCAGAAATGCACTGAGAAAGAGGCAGAATAACCGGAAGCCGGAAGAAGGGCTTTAGTTAGGCAGCGAATCTTCATTGAAGTGATGTTAGCTAGGTCCTTTCCTCGAGCCAGTCTTGAAGCAGGCAGGAAGTCTTTTACCAGGATACCCGCTTGAAAATGACGTAGAGAGAGTGTTCGAGAACGTCTCTGTGCGATTTATCGGTTCCAAGTAGCGATGAAAGTAAAACCACTAGCACAGCGTGCAAACGTTGTTGCCATGTTTGATAGTTTGGCAAACTAGCTCCTGAGACCATAGAAGGGAGTCTTTGGTTGTGAACGTGATCGGGACCAGGCTAGTTGGCTCAGCAACATAGTTGTTTGGTAACAGGCAAGCACAAGGTAGTGGGGGGGATTAGAAAGCTCCTCTTATCTTTGAGATCATACGGGCGGACACTTGGTGCTGGTATAAAAAGGGCATATTCGAGTGCCCCGCTGCCAGCATCGCTCTTCTCTTCGAACAGAAGCAACTCTGTAGGGAGGAGAGCCTGCCGATCGAGCGAAGGGATCCATACGGCTTTCAGGGGGAGCTGCTTTTACAGCCTACTGGTATTTAAGTAACAGACGTGTTGAATGAATTTTCATGATGATTCATTCAATTCGTTCGCCGGGAAGTGCATGCTTTGCGAACCAAAAAAGCCTGCCGATGAAACCCGTTCCCTCGTGCTTCCATTAATGATAGATACA